TATATATATTTTTAATTAGACTTCATATTAATATTGGGATGGATAAAATCAGTGCTTAATGTCGGATGATAAATGTTCGTAGTTGTGTGTGACACAGAATAGAATTTCTTAGAATTTGTTCCATAAAAAGTCATTTGTTTCATAATAGAATTTTTTTTCGAGGATGCATCATTTCACTCACCAACATGAGTAGAGATTTTATTCTGTTAGCAATAATTGCATGGTAGTAAATTGATCTGCGATTTTCAGAGTCAGTTATTTAAATGTATATTTCTAATTAGGGAGATCTTCCTATGCTAATGCTGCTTCATAGTAGCAGTTATTTATAAGCAGCAAAAGTGATCTATTTTTATACCTTAAAAAGTTTCGATCCGGTTTAGGACTACGTTAATACGTGCAGTTTAAAAAATCGTATAAATAGGGTATACACATAGGATATACATATATTATCTAAATCTTTCAGTAACTAGTATGTATGTACTTTTCAAGATTTTTAAAAAATAAATTATATTAAGTAATGGGCATAATAGCGGATATCTAATTAGATCTATAATTAGAGTATATATCGGAAGTAGATCATAGTATATATCCAAACGTGGAATATATTTGCAAATTTATTCTTTACTGAATTGTTGAGACTTCTATTTCGAAGATTTTTTTCATTTTTTTTTCGCTTAGAATTTTGTTTTAAATTTAAATACATTAAAAAATTTAATAAATCATTCGTCAATGCATTACAAGTTGCAAGTTGTTTAAAAATACTACCTAGACAATATCTCAAAAGAAATAATTTCTGCCAAACTTAAATACAAACAATTTACATTGCATATTATTTATAAAGTTGTGAATAAAGACATTTCCGAAAGTTCTCCAGAAAAAGTTGATTTAAAATCTACAATGCCTACAAGTCATAGCCTAGTGTTTTGTATTATATGTATAAATTTATAATAAATATATAATAATTAAATAATTTGATTACAAATTAGTGAATTTGAATTAGGGAACTGTAGAAAAATCGTAAGAAATCTGAAGCACACGAAACGATAGGAAACATATAAACAATTGACTCATAAGTGGTTGATTGCTGAAGATATCTGCCTCACATGTTTATATAACATATATACAGAACCAACATAAATATTTTATAAAATATCAAATGATTTCTAATAACACATATTAATTTCTAATAATACATAATAATACATTTTCTATTGTTTTGTGGCCTAAGAAGGCGTTTTATTTTATTATTTTCGATTTGAAAATTAATTTGTTAAAAATTGCTATTTTATTTATTTAGGTCACAGTGGTGTAAACCAACTAGGTGGTGTTTTTGTTGGAGGACGTCCCTTACCAGACTCTACAAGACAAAAAATTGTTGAACTTGCTCACTCCGGAGCACGTCCATGCGATATATCGCGAATACTTCAAGTATCAAATGGATGCGTTAGTAAAATATTAGGAAGGTAATGCATGAAAGAAACATTAAGAAAAAAGTATTGAACATAATTAAATCAAAATATTATTTGTGTAAAAATAGATATTACGAAACAGGGAGTATAAGGCCTCGAGCTATCGGAGGTTCAAAACCTCGCGTTGCAACTGCAGAAGTAGTAAACAAAATTTCGCAGTACAAGCGTGAATGCCCAAGCATATTTGCGTGGGAAATTCGAGATAAATTACTCCACGATGAAGTTTGTACTAATGATAATATACCCAGTGTAAGTAATGTTATAAATTCAACTCAATGTAATATAAATTTATGATGACTACATATTATTCTCTCAGAATCTGGTTAAAAATTTTTAAAAACTTTTTTAAAAGTATGAACTGTTTAATTAAAGTTCAGTTTTTACTGTTAGTTTACTAAAATAACCTTATAGGTTATACTCCATATTGTTTGAAAACTTTATTGATATTGAATATAATATAATTAATACCTGTAACTTGATTCAGTGTGCAAACATATGATAACATACCTGTATACCGATTCAGTTTCTGTGTGTTTAGATTAATTTCTTATATAAGTTTTTATATATATTATATATATTATAAATTATATAAGTTTATTTTATTAAGGTTTAGAAACTCTGCAAATATCTATGGAATAACAAATATATGTATAACAAATATCTTAATAGTTAAAAAATTTATTATGATTGAAAAAAAATGATGTAAACGAATAATTATATAGATATACATATTTAAAAACTGTCTCTTCCGAACCATAAACCAGAATATCTCAATATAATTAATATTTATATTCAATTTTTGCTGATCAAATAATGTATCAGAGCTATTTATCGTCGACAGTTATTAATATAAAATAAAGTGGAATGTACCAAACTCCTTAAACACAGAATGTGAGCACAACAGTTTGTGGAAATAGAGAATAAAAAAATTATATTTTATTTAATATCTTTTTTATCATAAAATAACAGAAAAATAAATTTCCGCAAAGTAGTAAATTTTATACAAACTTAACAATATAGAATTCAGCTGCATCAGAATGGTTGACATTCACAATAGGAAGCATACGAGTTTATGTATTATTTCATGGCAGTGGCGTAACTACATTTTTTGGGCCCATAAGCAAACTCTAACTAAGGGCCTCCTACTAACATCTTTTTATACCCTTTACACGAAAAGGAAACGGCGAAAATACCATAAAGTATATATCAGTATATGTATATATAAACTTTTTTAGTTCAAACTACTCTCTCAGCTTTTGAACTCTTCGAATGAAAGTTTACACACATACTTTTCGGGAGCGGTCCCTGTTCACCATTTGATTTGGTTGAAATTGGCATACTAATTCTTATAGATGTATGTATTTTTATTTTTCCTGACAAATTTTTACAATCCCGAAATCCAGAACACCATTGATTTGTTTGATTAGAAAATAACCAGCACGGCTTACAATACACTGAATCCAATAACTTTAAATAGTATAACCAAAGTCGTGGCACTGTTCCATATTTTGTTTTTAAATTAATAGTATGAATAATATGAAGCATTGAAACTTCTACTTTCTTGAATAGGATCCTTTAAAGATTTTCTTGAAATTACAAATTCAATCTTGTTCAAAAACCAAAATTTATGTTATTTCAACAAAAAAACGTTTTGTCCCACATTTGAGAATTTATTAAAAATAAATATAATGAATACATAAATTTATAATGGGGCCGCCTAAGTTCGGGGGCCCGAAAGCGTTGCTTTCAGTCGCTTCCCTGTAGTTACGCCACTGTTTCATGGTATAGGAAAAAAATTAGGGAAATATCGGAAGATGATAAAATTTGAGATAAAAAGCAACTTAAAACCTAAAAATCAATTATGACTATATGAATATAAAAACCTTCCTGGTAAAAAAATCGAGAACTAAAAATAGTATTGGAAAAATTACATACCTATTATTATTAAATTACATTAAAAAATATAAAAAACTCTTGAAAAATCACTAAAGGATGTTGGAAGGATAGATCGAGATTAAAGTTTTTTAAGGAGTGTGCCGTTATACAACAGTAGATTGTCTTAAGTACATCATTAATTCTCGTGAATACTGAACTTGCAAAAGCATTGAACAACACTGTAATGAAATAAATATTTAAGATGCTCGATAGATCCCTACTGATGGTATGGGGGGAATACCCTATACAACTTAACTATTAACTAAATCTGTTTATTTCCACTATATACAAATAGCAAATTAGTGCGGGTCATGCATATAGAAGTTGTCGTAATGAAAGCGTTGTTTTTCTGGTTCGTCGAATTAATTTGACAAAGGCTGATTAATTAAGTAATGTTAGAGAAGTTTTAGTTAAAATATGGTTTATTAAATAAAATGATGAAAACTTGATTGCAGTTTGCGATAAATTGTTTTTTATCCACATTTTTGCAACTACGAAGCGCACAAATTGTCAAAAATGAGGAAGCTAATTTACTTGTGTGTGTTTAAGATATTTTATATTCAATATTAACTGGTAAATAGACAGCAAAGGAATGTTCGCCCATAAAAACTATAAGAAGTAAAAACCAGTTCTCAAGAATGACTAAATTAATAGGTAGAAAGATTACACACTTAATAATCTACAAAAATGTAATCGGCACCATGTAATGTAGAATCTATTATCTTGATATCAACGCCAATAAAGATTCTAGCATGATATCTATAGACATAGAACCGATTTTATCACTAGTTCTACAGGTTTTCTTTGTTAAGTCAATGTCTTTAAATGCATTGTACGCAAAAGAAAGTGATGATATGGGAACTTAAAGTGTCATGAAGTGTCAAAAAACTTTGTGGAAGAACTTCACAAAAATCTAACACAATTTCTCATTTTCAGATTGTTGGCAGGGCACAACACAGATAGATATCACTGTTACAATTATCAGAAATTGGATATGTCTATATTGTCTTGCGGATATGGACTCTCTTTTTATCTGATCTTCTTAGATTAATTAAAGAATGCAAGAAGTTTGAGATAAGTTAGCTAGTTCCTTATTTTATGTCACCTATATTTTAATCCGCTTTGCCACAGCAGTTATTTGACTGAGGGTCCTGGTCTTATCCTGAACTCTATTGAAAACAAAAAGATATCAATATCCTTTTTGTTCTGTAATGAGTATCATAGATGCAAAAATGACTAAGATTGTAAGTTAAAAATACTTACGAGATGGTAAGACGAGAAATATCCGTCATACACTTTTTGAGAAAAAAAGTTTGTTTTTTACGCTGCGATAAAAAAAACAAGCTTATAGAACAAGTTTCCTGATGGACATATATTAGGTGTAAGCCGTTGCTGAATGTTCATTGGTTTCATTGGTTCAAACTAGTTCTGTTGTATTACAAAAATCGTAAAATTATTAGGGACTTACAAACAGTATTCAGCTGAATGAAGCAATTTTATGGTCAGTGAGAAGTCAATACTGGAACTCTTGGTATTTTACCTTTTTTTACCACATCACTTTACATGTACTTCTTACACATTTAATTGAAAACATATACCTGAATTTTTTAAATACATATATCTATATGTAACTATTATTATGCTACTCGTATAAAAATGTTATGATATTTGAACAAATAGAAGCAGAATTTTTGCTTGATTAACGACAGTTTTTTAGAATGTCAGTTCAATACCCGACAAGATAGGTAAATATGGGTATCGATTAATTTTACCGACGCAAGTATGTGCCAATAGGTTTTATAAGTGAACATCAGATTTCTAAACACGAATGTACATCATTTATGGGACATCAAAAAGCCCAATAAATAATATTATTGCTTACAAGTCCCAATTCCATAAATTTCAATGATGATTTTAGCGGATTATTGTATTTACGCACAATTCTCATGAAAGCTCTGGCTGTAACGGAGTTAAGCCGCTCAAATATAATATTATCATTTATGGAATTATTTTGTCTTTACGGCTATTTTCAAACCGCGTATAACAATTATGAACTATGTCACAATATAAACAAGCGTGACTTTAAACTTGGTTCATTGATTAAAACGTTTCGAAAAAAATATTACTTAGTTTAAAACTAAACCTATTGTCAGTTCTATTCTCTGTACTCATATTTGTACCTATGAAATTAACTTAATAACTAATAATTAACTTAATAATTTGTAACTAAAATTAACGAAATAAGAGTGCCTCTATTTATGTAATTTCATCTAACTTTGGCAGTACATCCGTTTTATCATAAGAGGCTCAGTTAAAACCATGTCTTTTTGTAATGGTTAACAGATGTCCTTACGAATAACGCCTATTTTTTAAAAGTCCTGTTTAGTTTAACAGTGTAGAACTTGTTTTTAAAATTGCAAGAACAATATTTTTAAATAAACACTATTTATGCTAACGATTTATATATAAATTTTATTTTAAAAAATATCTACGAGTATTTTTTTTATTAATTAATTAGAAAATTAATTTGTGTTATGCATGTAATATAAATATTTTGGTGACTTGAATTTTAAAAGATGTATGTATACAGTCTTATTGTCTACGCATTGAAATGTCACAACTGAATTATTCAGTACAAAGGTTTAAGTAACCCAAATTTTTATCATCAACGATTTCAATATTACGAATTTATATGTTCATTTGACGCCATTTTTAAGTTAGCGTTTGCGTTAGCGTTAGCGTTAGCTTTATCTTTTTATTGTTTTTAAAATACAAAAATCAAATGCTGTTGACAGATAAGCAAAAAAACTGTATCCATTCAGTTGGAAATAAATTCTTTATGTGCATAATATAAATAAAGCAGAAAGAAATAAGATGAAAATACGAAATCTTATACGTTAAAAAAACACAACTGCACCACAAATCATTAAGCATTATTTATACAAGGGGAAATCGCACAAATTCGATTGTAGGAAATCTGTCAACAAAACGGTGGTGAGTGACTGCCTAAGTTAAAATGTGTGAACATTAATGACAGGACTAAGGGTACTAATTTCCTATTGATTCTTCATTGACACTTAATTTTATGAAATATACATTTTTGTTACTTTTATAATAAAGTTTATGCACTGATGTTTTATTCAAGCATATTTTAATTCATATTTTCATATCTTCATATTAATTAATTAACATAATAATACATTATATAAAATCACGAAATTTTAAATAATGCATAAAATAATATTATTTATACCTAAATAATATGTGACTTTAGTACAACAAAATTGTATTGTTTCTGTTGTCTATGCTGCGCTGATGGCTAAATCCAGTTGTCGTATTCCATCAGTCAAATGCAGAAT